GGGAGCGAGGCAGGTGTCCCCGCATGTCCCCGCGCAGGGGTTGCCGAGCCATGGGGATGCTCCCAGGGATGCCAGGCGCAGGGATAAAGGTTTTTTTGCAGCCTTTCCCCTAGGATGCTGAGCCTTGGTGCTGTTCCAGCTGGGAAGAGTGGTCATTGCCGCTGGGTTGCTGCGTGGGAGGAGCTCTGCTAGGGGTGACTCGAAGGTAACGTGGTTGTTATGGGATGAGGGAGGAATCAAAGTTTTCTGTGTTAGGAAAAAACCCCCAAACTTTCAGGTTTTTGGAGGGATTTAGCCAGCAGTGTGCTGGGGGATGGATAGGGATGCTCTGGAGCATAAAGGGAGGTAAAATTGAGGTTTTCTGGAGCATAAATGGAGACTTATTTTCTGAAGAATGGATGGGATGCTTCGGAGAATAAATGGAGCTTTTTCTGGATCATAAATGGGTATTTTCTAGAGCATAAATCAAGACATATGGAGCTGAGTTGGAGATTATTCTGAGGCATAACTGGGGATGCTCTGGAGGATAAATAGAGATGCCCTAGAGGATAAATGGGAATTTTTTTTGAGCATAGATGGGGATGCTCTGAAGGATAAATGGAGGGAGTTTTTTTTCTAAAGGATAAATGGGGTTACTCTAGAGGATTGATGGAAATGTTCTGGAGGGGAAATGGATATTTCTCTGGAACACAGACGGGGATTTTTCTGGAGGGGAAATGGAGAATTTAAGGGGGACAAATTGTGGGTGGTTTTTTTTCCTCTGGAGCATAAATTGATATTTTTCTGGAGGATAAATGGAGTTGCTCTAGATGTTCCTCAACTTATCTAGACGTCCACAAACAAGCTGGAAGCTTGTTACTATTTGCTCCACATCCTGACCTGCCTAACTTTGTGTATGTGCTTCATGTGGGAATTTCTGTGAGGAATTTTCCAGGTGATTAACACAGTTGAGTAACTCCAGCTGTTATTTATCTCCTGGTAATGCTCTTTCTTACCTGTTGCGTTGTTGTCTCACTGATGGAAATGTGTTTTTATAATCACAATCCATTTTTAAGACTCGCTTGGTTGTCTACACCTTTGCTAGTCCAAGGATTCTTATTTTGATCCTTGTTGGGACCCTTTGTTGCACAAGCACATGCAGCTACTGAAAGTTTAAAGGAATAAATAAGGAAAAATTTCCTTTCTCCGGAAACTTGGGATCTAATAAAAAAGACTCAGAGGGGGCAGGGGAATCAAGCAACCGAGAATTATATATCCTTGTCAAAAGGATGTATTTATGTGGATAACAAGATTTATTTGAGGAGTGTTTATTGTCCTTCCTAGAAAACTTTTCTTTTACTGTATTAATTGCCTCAGGGAAAAGAATATATATATAAATATAAATCTCTTCTAACAGTGGCTTCCAGTCTCCAAGGCTTTATTTTTTAAGTTGTACTAATTCCAGTTGTAGTAATTCCAATTCCTTATCAGGAACTCGAATTGAAATATGCTCTGAGTTTTGCATCAGTTCTGATGCAATTAAAGTTTCTTTGTAAGTAATCTCTTAGATTAATTATGCTTTCTGCAAATCTTGCACACATACACGTTTTAAAGTGTTTATTCCCTTATTTCTGGGCAAAATGCTGGCAAGAAGTTACAAATAAACCCATATAATGTGGGGGGAAATCACTTAAATATTCCCACTGAGTGTTTTGGAGACTTGGAAATTCAGCAACACTTAGGAAAAATAAAGATCCATTTCCAAATAGGAGCAAAAAAACCCCAAAGTCTTCTTTTTACAGAGGGAAAAAATGGTGGGAATTGATTAATTTGTGGCATTTTTCATTGGAAAGACACTTCAGCCAACTGGTTTGGGGCTGATTTAATCCAGAACCAGCTGCACTAAGAGATGATCTTGGAATGTTTGTCTCCCATCTGGTTTAGTATCAGATCCTGGTGTTAGCAGAGCTCCTGTGGGAATGTGTATCAAGAACTTATCACAAATGGGAATCTTCCAAAGGAGCAGCAGGAAATTAACACGTGCTCTGCTCATTGATTTCTGTAAGCACTACTGATCAGTGAGCTCTGCAGCCCTGGAGTCAGCACTGGATATTCCACAAGGATAGCCTGTGGGAAAACATTAAGGAAAGAGATTAAGTGAAAGCTTTTGTGGGGAGAAACTGGATCTGCACATCTTCCTGCAGGAGCAGTTGGGGATGTGTGTCCACAAGGGGACAGGTGTTGGGTTGAGAGTGTTGCAGAAATGCCTGCTGGCTGGAATTTGTGGCTGTGGGGGAATTAGACATTAAGAGTCTGCATGGGGAGCAGTCCTGTTCCCACAGAATTTAGACAATTAGAATTTGTTCTGCACATTTCCCCTCAATTTCCTGCTCCTAGGGGATGGTTTAGTTGACACTGTGATGGTCATTCAAAGGTCAGACTGGATAATCCTAGAAGACTTTTCCAGCCTCAGTAGTTCAATGATTCCATGTTCCAACATTTTGTTTTTCTCTTCCAGTTCCTCTTCCTAAGTACTTTCCCTGTAGTAATATTGTTTTATCTGCAGAGATATCTTGGAACTTGCTAGCAATGGGAATGAGGAGGTTCTGGATCAGCCAGGTGAGCAGGCTGAGGTCCCCATGGATCCAGCTCACACAGGGCCTTGGAGCAGCAACAACCTTGGCCTAAGGTTCTTATCTTGGTTGCAAAGCTGTTGTAAGCATGTGCTAAAGAACAATTATTTCCGAACCGAGCTGGATATCAGCTCAGAGGGTCAATCAGAGCATCTAGAGGTTTGTGTCAGGCTCCTTGTTCCAGGTGTCCTGTGCAGGTTGAGGCAGGAAAGCCATGGAGTTCTCCAGTGTTGGATTTGCTGTAGTAACAGCTCATGTCTGTCTCTGGGTCTGGTGGGAAAATACAAATGGTTCTTCCTCAAAAGGACTGTTCAGCTGGGAGAGGATAAGGTTCCATGGATACCTCAGAGCAGCCTTCCAGGATCTGAAGGGGCCAGAGAGGGACTCTTCATCGGGAACTGGAATGATGGGACCAGGGGGAATGGCTTCAAACTGAGCTAATTAATCCAGGCAAATCATGTTGCAGCAGGATGTTCACTCCAAAGGGTTATCCCTGAGGGTAAATCCAAATCCATGGCTGTAATAAACCAAATGTTTGCTGCTGATGGTTGTATTGATAGAGAGAACCTTGAGGTCTTTGCTGTGTCTCATAAATGAGAAATTAGGACATGGAACTCCACTGGGCTTTTCCTTAAGTAACTGATGCTGTAATTGAATGGAAAGAGAGAGAGCATTCAAACCTTGTTCCATTTCTATTGGCAGGATGGAGAAAAAGAAGATCCTGATGAAGTCCAAGGTTGCTGCTCCCAACCTCCTGAGGGCACTGCATTCCCTGTACCAGTTTGGGCACCTCTGTGATGTGACAGTTCACACCCAACATCTGGGAATTCAGGAGGAGTTCCTGGTCCACAAAGCTGTCTTGGCTGCTTCCAGCAACTATTTCAAGGGGCTTTTCCTGCATGATGAGATGCTAGACACCAAGAATTGCACCGTGACTCTGCAGGACATCTACACAGAGGAGTTCACCTCCTTCCTGGAGTTTGTGTACACTGCAGAGGTGGAAATCGAAGCGGAAAAGCTCCAGCGGATGAAGGAAATAGCTGAAAGACTGGAATGCAAGGATTTGCTTGACATCTGTGAAGAAGTGAAAGCAGAGGGCAGGAAGGGTTTGGATCTGAGCCTTCACCTGAAAGGGCAACGCTGTGACAATGGTGGGTTACAGTGGCCTTGCATCCAGCAGGAGGAGGACCACAGCCTGAGGAGCTCTTCCCAAGTGGTGGCAATACCTGTGCAGAGGAAACTTTGGGATAGGCAAAACCAGAAGAAGCTGCTGGTGGGCTATGAGCTCGCTGGAGGCCAAGCAGCAGGCCTGGAGCAAGTGAACACTGCTTTTCCAGACCCAAAATCCAGCACGGCAAAGTTGCTAAAATGTAACAAGACACATTCCAGGAACACACTCGGTGTGAACATCATTACTCTGGAAAATGAGGATAGCCATTCCCTCCTAAGCCAGGCTGAGGCCCAGGAAGGCTGTATGGTAATTAGGAACACCCTTAGGGAGCAATGGGAAGATGAAAAGAGTTTGATTCCACAATTTCCAGGAAAATCAGGATGCAGGAAGTCACCACGGCATGTGGCCAAAGTCCTGGCACCAGTGGCCTGTGAAAAGTGTGGTGAATCCTTCCGCCTCCTGGAACAGTACCGGGAGCACACGGAGCTCAGGCACAACATCCACCTGGCCATGAGGTACCACTGTGAGAGGTGTGAGGAGCTCTTCCCTACTCCCCAGACCCTCCAGCAGCACCACTGCAAGAGGTTGAAGCGCCGCAAGGGCGCACCGGATCACATCCGTAGGGTGCAGGAGAGGAAGCAGGATCCCCACTCCTGCCCCTACTGTGACAAGGTGGTCAGTTCCAAGTGTGGCCTCACCCTCCACATCCGGACACACACCAGGGAGAGACCTTATAAGTGTGAGCAATGCCCCTCCAGCTTTGCTCAGAGGTCTTCCTACACCACGCACATGAGGTATGGAGGATTTGGTATGCACAGGAGTAATGTGCTTCATAGTATGTTAAGGGTTTGGAAAGGACCTTAGAGATCATCTAGTGCCATCCTCCTGCCTTGGGCAGGGACACCTCCCACCAGACCAGGTTGTTCAAGGCCTCATCCAATCTGGCTTTGAAATCTGCCAGTGTTGGGTCATCCACACCTCCATGGGCAACCTGTGCCAGTGTCTCACCACCCTCACAGAAGAAAACTTCCTAATATCTAATCTAAATTTCCCCTCTTTCAATGTATACCCATTGATCCTTGTCTTGTCACTACAGTTCCTGATTCAGAGTCCCTTTCTGGCTTCCCTGTAGCCTCTTTAAACCCTGGAATGTTGCTATGAGGTCTCCACAGAACCTTCTCTTCTCCAGGCTGAACAGTCCCAGCTTCTCAGCCTGTCTCTATAGAGAAGGTGCTCCAGTCCTCTTACCAGTTTTGTGGCCTCCTCTTGGACTTACTCCAACAGTTCCATATTTTCCTTATGATGGGAACGCCAGAACTGTGAGCAGTACTCCACATGGGACCTCACAAGAGCAGAGGAGAAAGGGAGAATCACCTTCTTGACAAGCTGCTCATACTCCTTTGGATGCAGACCAGGATTTAGCTGTGTGTTGTCGCTGGGCACAAGGAATAAAAGCATTCCTGAAGTCCTCTCTGCTCTAGTTTCATAATTCCTTGGATCTTATTCGAAGTGTGTTGAAATCAGGGCACATTTTTTCTGTAGGCCTCATCCAGCTCACGTTGTGGATGACTGGATTGAGGTCTCACAGACTGGGAATTTAGGGAATTTCCCATTGAATTAAAGGGGACTTGTGCAACTAGATGTCTCAAGTGCTTTTGGAAGCATCAGATTTGGACTTTTAATAGGAATAATATAATATTAAAAATTAATAGGAATTTTTGGAATTTAATAGGCAATATGGGCATTTAGCCTATATTTCTCTTGTTTGAAGTCCATAATTTCTTATCCAATCCAGCATGCCTTGGAGGAAAATTTACAGTCCATCCTATATTCCCGATCAGGTGGCAAATATATATCCTTGGTGAAGTGACATTTTAATTGTCTTTAATTTAACTAGCTTTAATAGTTCTGGTCCAGGTCTACCCCAAATTTCCCTTGTTTTGAGCTCTCCAAATACGCTGTGAATTTCTTAAATGGTGTGAAGACCCGTTCCAGGGAAGTGACTCTTCCTTCAAAGCCAACGTTGAATTGAAATAATTAAACTTCATGTTAATTGAGTTTTAATTAAACTTATTGACATTGTGCTCTCTTGTTTGTTTTGTCAGGAAAATCCATGAGTCTGGGCAGGAGAGGAAACTTCTGCCTGTCTGTTGGATGGTGGTTCCACCCACAAGCTGTGACAAAGATTCCAACAGAGGGGTTTGGGATGGGACACTGGAAGCTGGACAGCAACAGTGTGTGAGGCACAGAGAAGCCACGAGGCATGAGGAAGAACCTGGGGGATCATCTATGTCTGAGGCAGACCGTAGCAATGAGCAAGAGGAACAGACATGGAAATACAAGGAAACTGAAGCCAGGAGTGAAGAAGGGAATGAAGATGGTGAGATGAGTGTGAAGGGCGAGGAGGAGGGAGATTACCAAGTGGGATATTCGGAAGCTGAAGGAAGCAGAGCCAATGAGGTGTGCAGCGAGGAGGATGGTGAAGACTCCAACGAGAAGGACAGTGAAGAGCATGAGTTCACACTCCAGAAGATCACTAAAAGCAGGGCCAGCAAGAAATGCACCTACATGATTCAGTGTGATAAGTGTCAGGAGCAGTTTGTTTCCCGCAAGAAGTATGTGGATCACTGCCGGGATGTCCATCAGTGCTTGCCTGGCAAAGTCTACCGGTGCGACATCTGCAGCAAGTCCTTTGCCAGCCACAACAGCTGGAAGGAGCACCGTGCCTGCGTCCACACAGAGGAGAGGCAGTTTGCCTGCAGCCTCTGCAATGCCACCTTCAAGAGGAAGAGGGATGTGAGGACTCACTGCATGAGGAAGCACGAGGGTAGGGTCAAACGGCCTCTCTGCTCCGTGTGTGGGAAGATCCTCAGCTCCCGAACGGCACTGGTGTTCCACATGCGGACACACACCGGAGAAAAGCCCTATGAATGTGGTGTTTGTCACTCCAAGTTTGCTCAGCCATCCCAGCTGAAGATCCATACCAGGTTAGCCTCTAGCACTGCTACTCCCGTTCCCACTCCCTGTTGTGACTTCCCAGTTGTGAGTCATTCTCCTTAGAACAGGAACACCAAGATGTAATTGGTCGGGTGGGATCTATGATTAATTCCTTTATGCCAAGGCTTGGTCGCCAGCTAGTCATTGCATCTCACCAGGGCTTGACTGGATGAATTGCTTTCTGGTGATGCTCTTCTCCCAGGAGAAGGCGAATCATCCCATGGAATCTCCGGTCTTTCTAGCAGAGAGTTGATAAGCCTTTTGCCTGACAACTCAAAATTAGGCCTGTTTTTCCACATCCTCCTGTTTGGTTTGAAATAAGTTAAGACCAAACATTATACTCAGGGTTTGTCTGATTTTAGTTTAAAATCAGTTGTCCAGCGTGTGTTCAGCAAATTTTGTCTTAAAAATGGGAATATCCTGCCAGATAAAGTTTGCAGGACATGAGGAATTGTGGAGGCTAACAGCATCCCAAGAGATCTGCTGCTGGGTAAAATCCAGATGCACTTTTAGCCTCTTGCATAGGAGCAGCCTGTCATTTTCCCTGCATTCTCCCTTCCAATGCTCTGAGCTATAACTCCTGAAAAAAAGGTGGATGTTTTAGGGCCTGAAAGGGAGAAAAAGCTAAACCTTAAATGGGAATTTTACTGCTTCAGTGTACCTGGAAACAGTCTGTTTTCTGAGGGAACACAATGTACCTTTTCCCACTACGTTTAAAACTCAGAGTTTCCAATCCAATATTTTAAGAATCAAGATGTCATTAATTAATAATCACTTGTGTTCTGCCTCACTTAGGTCCCACACAGGGGAGAAGCCTTATATTTGTGAAGACTGTGGAGCTTCCTTTGCTGATAAAGGAAAACTCACCGGGCACAAAAGGACACACACAGGTAGGCATTAAATGGACCTTCCATGTGGTTTTTTTTTCCCATTGCTTTCCCTTTTCACTGCTAGAAATTGCTAGTTGGGATGTTAAGTGCCGTTTAAGGTGTTTTAATTCACAGAAGAGGCATCAAGTTATTAAAAGGGTAGAAAGACTTTTAGCCTGGAGAAAAAGAGGCTCGGGGGAGACCTTCTTGCTCCCTACAACACCAGGAAGAATTTCTTCATGGAAAGGGTTGTCAAGTATTTGAACAAGCTGCCCCGAGAGGTGGTGGAGTCACTATCCCTGGGGGTGTTCAGGACCGACTGGATGTGGCACTTAGTGCTCTTGTCTAGTTGACAAGGTGATGATCGTCACAGGTTGGAAAAGACCTCCAAGACCATCAAATCCAACCTTAATCATTCTGTGATTTGAATACCAAGTTTGAAGGACAAAATTGCTCTGTGAGAACGCCACGTGTCTCATTTCTGTTCCCTCAGGAGAGCGTCTCTTCAAATGCGATGTGTGTGGGAAACACTTTGCCACCAACGAATACCTGAAGTGCCACAAGCGCTGCCACATGGGTGCCAAGCCCTACAAGTGTGGGGTTTGTGGGAAGACCTTTGGGCTGAGAGCCTCACTGGCCCAGCACAGCAACGTCCACGCAGGTAATGGAACCAACTTTCTGGGGATGGGAAAAGAACCAATGGCTCTGGGGTACTTCCCAGGTTGGAAGGGGATATTTCATTCCACAACTCCTTGAATTAGGTGATCACAGAATTAGTTAGGTTCGAAAAGAATTCCAAGGCCATCGAATCAAACTTGTGGCCCATCACCACCTTGTCAACTAGACCAGAGCAGTAAGTGCCACATCCAGTCAGTCATTCCTTGAACATCTCCAGGGATGCTGACTCTGTGGTGATGGAGGGAAGCAGGGCTCATCCTGATCCTGGCTTGTTATACAGAGCACAGTATTGTCTTTTGTGCTATCAGATCCCAGAAAACTGAGGCCTGTTTTGTGCTGCAGAGGGCATTTGGAGTAGAGAATGGCTGTAGCTGTCCTTGCAGGATCAGAGGGCTGTTCTCAGGCTTTCTTTGGCAGTCAAGAAATGTAATGGAATCATAAAATCCCAGAATGTTTTGGCTTGGAAGGGACTTTAAAGCTCATCTCATTCCACCCCCTGCCATGGGCAGGGACACCTTCCACTAACTAGCCCAGGTTGCTCCAAGCTCCATCCAACCTGGCCTTCAGCACTTGTAGCGATGGGGCAGCCACAGCTCCTTTATCCATTTCCCACTTTATCAGTCTTTAAAAATTCTCTGTCTTTTTTTTGTTTTTAACTTGGACTGAAGACCTCACCACCTAACTCCATGTTTTCTGGGATTGGTCGTTTTTAGAGACACGTCCATATTTCTGTGAGCAGTGTGGGAAAACCTTCACCCAACAGGGAGCTCTCCGTCGCCATCAGCGCATCCACACCGGGGAGAAGCCCTACAAGTGCCGCGCATGCGAGAGGACCTTCACAGACATGTCCACCCTGCGCAGACACGTGGCGGTAGGACATCACTCAGGGTCCTTTCAGGACATTAATGTCACCTCAGGGATGACATTACAGCCAGGAGTTTCTGGCCTTCTGCAGGATCTGCATTGGGGATGAGCATTAGGGCTGGGGGCTTGATCTACCATCTTAAAATCTATTTCTGAAGTGTGCAGAATTTCCTTCTGATGGCACAGCCGCTTCCACTGCTGGCTACCAAACCAGTCATTTTCCAGTCTTAGGAAGAGAGTCACCATCCCTGGAGGTGTCCAGGGAATGCCTGGACATGGCACCCGATGCCATGGACTAGTTGATGTGATTATGATCTCAGATGTCTGTGACTGATCACTATCTCAGACATCTTTTCCAGCTTAAAAGAGTCTGTAAAAACATTTGAGAAAGGACTAGGGATTTTAAATGCACAGTGTTTTATACAACCTCATGCTGCAGATTAATATGATTTTACATATTTCCAGTGTTCCAATATGCTGAAAAACACTGAGCTCAGCTGTTTACAGAGACCTTCAGGTGCTAAAGTGACAGCAAAGACAGAACATGAGATCTTCTGACAATTACAACTTAATATTTTGCCTGCAGGCTAAAATTATGGCGGATTTGGGAAGTATTCCATGACAATGGCATCAGAAAATCAGTGCAGTGTTGGCCAAACAGATTTGTTTCAGTTTGAGTTCCACAGGATCATGGAGTTCACCCGAAATTGTTGGATATAGCACTGGATTAAATTAAATATTGTTAGTTAAAAATACATAATTATAAAAGAATATAATTGTATTCCTGTTTCCTTCCCTTTTTTTTCCCTAGATTCATGACAGGAATGCTCACTGGAGAAGCTTCTTAATCGACCTCACAACCAAAAAGGACCATAATTGGTCCAAAATAGAGACGCTTGCATGTGCGGGAGGAGACTCCGTGCCAGAAATGTGGTCAGTTGACCAAGGGAAGCTTTATAAACCAGAAAGTCTTAAAACAGCAGCACATGTGCCACCTGGTGTTGGGGGCACTGGGGACACCGAGCCCTCCCTTTTGTACTTATAAGGTCAATTGTGGCCGCGAAAATGTGCCACTTGGGGGCAGAATGGGGGGAATTATCCCTTGGAATGGGAGAAATTATCCCTCAGAATATGGAAATCATCCCCAGAGCTCACGGCAGCTGCCCCAAGAGCTGGAATTACGGACAGACAACGGGTTATATTTCCTCTTCAGAGCATTTATTCCAGTTGGACGTTCAGATCTGCCCAGAGGTTTATTTCCCCGAAGGCACGTATCCACCTCGGGGCATCCCATCGGGGACGGGCCGACTGTGGGCTGTATGTGTGTGTTTATGCAGATATAAATCAACACTTTCTCGTCTAATAAACACGTCGGTACCGCACAGCCTGTAACTCAAGGATTTTCGCAGATTGCCGTGCGGAAAAGGCCTGGCTCGGGGAGTGACGAGGCCGGGCGAGGAACGCCGCGGCCGGGGCGGTCCCGCGTTGC